TTGGGTTTCCGAGGCAGTATCACTACGGAAGTAGGATTGCCCAACCTTCCTTCCGAGGAGTGGCTGGTGGGTTTGAACCGCCAGCCTTCTAGTTAGCAGTCAAGTGCCTTAGGCACTATGCTACCAGAGCTCCTAGTCTTCAAGTAATTAAACATTTTTTTCCCCAAAACAGTATCCACCAAAGGGCAGACAGAAAGTGGCAAATCAAATCATCTAACACAAGCATCAGCAAAAATATTAACAACTACAGAAATCAGCGTTGAAAGTAATGTTAGAGGATTCTAAGTCCAACTCCCTCACAAAGAAGAAACTAAAGTCTAGAGTGAAGTAGGTCATCCAAAGTCACCAGAAACCCTTTAAAAGTAGATAATACTGTTACCTGTTTTAGAGGAGACTCAGTCCCTAAGGAGCCCTGGTGGCACAGTGGATAAGCGCTCAGCTGAAAATCCAAAGGTTGACAGTTTGAACCCACAAGCCACTCCACAGGAGAAATATGTGGCAGTCCACTTCCATAAAGATGACAGCCCTGGAAATATTATGGGGCAGTTCCACTCTGTCCTATAAGGTTGCTATGAGTCAGAATTGATTTGATGAAAATGTTTTTTTTATGGGAAGGCTGTTATGAGGTTAAAGAAACACAAGATCACACAGCCATAAACTCGTGGAACCAGATTGAAATCCTGATCCTCTGACATTAAAATTCCTTCTCAGAATCAAAATCAAGCCACTGATGGGAAGAAATTATCTACAACACGTATGACAAAGAGTTAAGATTCCTAAGAGGCAAAGATACCAACAAAATAGATTTAAAAGAGAGAAATAGCAACACAATTTTTAAAAAGAAAAAGGCAGAGAATATGATCAGGCAATTCACTGAAGGGGTTATACAAACGCCCAATAAATCTTTGAAAAGATGATAAACTTCACTAGGAGTCAGGGAAATGCAAACTAAAGTAATTAGATACCATTTCTTACCCATCATTTGACAAAAATTAAAGAGCAGTAACACCCTATGCCAATTGCAAAGAAATAGCCACACATGAACACTGCTGGTGGACATATGAATTGTTACAACATTATAGGAAATAACAGAGACAATATGAATCAAAATTGAAAATATACGTTCTGTTTGACCCTACATTATCATTTACTGGAATCTAACCTCAAAAAAAAAAAAAGCATCAATACATATATTCAATGATATTTATTATGGTATTGCTCATGTAGAAAAAATACAGAAATTTCTATCAGTAGAGGAATGTTTGAATAAATTATAGTATATCATACTTTCCTAACAAAAACTCATGACAAAATTTGAGAATAATTTTCCAAATCAAATAAAGCCCCTAATCACTTCTTTGTCTCTTTTTTCTTACAGACCATTTTAAATATATTTACAGTTGGCAGACATAGTATCATGTTAATAAGTTACTAATTAATAGCCTATAGAAATTTCATGTGATAATTTGACAATTTCTAAGTGTTTTACAAAAGGAAATGTACATCAATTTTGGGCAACTTTAAAAAGGTATGAAAATTAATTTGGTCTTGAACTCAGAGCATATATTCAAATTTATTGGCAAAATTTTATGTCTTTTTTTGTGTGAATGCAAAGAAAAAGCACCTATAAAAAAAGGAAGAAAAACAAAGTTTGAATAAAGATACATAATTTTAATAAAATAAGGTACCCTGGCTCTTTTTTCCACACTGCCTAATTATCTGGAAATTAAATAAAGGCCCCTTGAGACACTGAAACTGCCAATCCCCTAGGGTTGCCCAAAGTCTTTTCCCCATAAGGACACATGAAATATAAAATCATGAATCTTTCCATGAGTCTCCATGAGATGATATCATCTGTCCCTCCTCCAATGTACTCTATACCTCTTACAACACTTGTTTAAAACACTGAGCAAGGTGGACTTTGATATCTGTGCACCTCTGTTATTATCCCCCACCAGACCGTAAGCTCCTAGCAGAAGGTACAGTTCATAATCAAATCTCGAGCTTTGAGAAGACTCGAGAAGTCAGCCAGTCTAACTACTCACAGGGAGTCTGAGGGCTCTCCACAATACTCCTTCAAGCGGATGGGTCTGCAACAGGGGAACTGCCTCCCATTCCTCAACCCTCAGCAGCTTATTCCTTCTCGGGAAAAGCGTAGCTGCTAGAAAGTTCTTCCATAAATGGAATTAAAATCTTTCTGAAATTCTGAAATTTAGTCCCAGTCTTACCCTCTTGGTAACCTACAAAATAAATCAAATCCCTCTTTCACAGGATAGCTTGTCAGTTTCCTTCAATCTCCTAATCTAGTAAATAATAATAATAATGTTAAATAATCTTCTCCCATCAAACATCAATGTCAAGTAGTATATTCTTTAACAGATCTGGTTTTATAATATGCCTCTCACTCTCTGGTTGAAAGAAAAAAAGTCAAGAATACAATAGTTACATGCTATGTTGGTGAATGTCTTGTGTTTGTTTTCACTACAATAAAAGTGAAGAAGAAAAGAAAAAGAATACAGTAGTACAATAGCCAGAAGTCAGAAATTCGGAACATCAATATATTCTTTCACTACAATCTTTCTCACTCCTTTAAAGTTGTCTCATCTCCACGTTAAGCAGTTTTCTAACATTGTTGAGACAGCCCGCATGGGCAAGGCTAGAATGGAGCTGCCCAGTTTTGCCAGGAAGAGCCCATCCTCAGGAGGAAGTTTTTTCCCACCTTCAGGATTCCCTAGGCTTCCTGGGCTGACTCAAGGCTTCATATGCAGCCTGAATCTCCAGGAAGTGCCTCTGGGCCTCCTCTGTCTGGTGGCGGTTGTGATCAGGATGCCAGATCTTCACTAGCTCCCGGTAACTCCGATGTATTTCTTCATTTGATGCCCCCTCAGAGAGGCCCAAAACCTTAGGGAAACAGAAGTTGACAAATTAGAATCTTGCTAGTTGCCAAGGTGCCTGGGCCTTTTCATACTTCCTTGCTAAATAAGACTGTGGCATCTCTGGAATTGGTTTCTACTCGCCTGTGGGAAGGACCCAGAGCCTCAGATTAGAATTCCAGCCTTTTGAAACATGGACAAGCTCTGGATCCCCTAGCAAGGACCAGAAGTTGCCTTTATTCACAGTTGCTCATTTTCCAACCTGAAACTTCACATCCCTAACAATCAAAATCTCCTGCTCTCAAGAAAAATGAGTGCATATGTCCACCAAAAGATATGTACAAGAATGTTCACAGCAGCTTTATTCACAACAGCCGCACACTGGAAATAACTGAGTAGATAAATAAATCATAATATATTCATACAATAGGAGATTATACAGTAATGAAAACAATTTACAATTGCATGCAACAATATGAATAAATCTTACAAACATGAAAGAAGTCAGATACGAAAGAGTGTACACTAGATGACAGCAGGTATGTGAGGTTCAAGAATGGGCAAAACTAATCTATGGTGATAGAAGCCACAATAGAGGTTACTTCTGGAGGTGGAAGTAATGCTGGGAAGAGGCACAAAAGAACCTTGAGCTGAGTGGTGGTTATATAAGAGTACACATAAAATGAGTTCACTTTATATATGTTATACCAAAACCAAACCAAACCCACTGCTGTCGAGTCGGATCTGACTGATCCTTGGGTTTCTGAGGCAGTACGACTACAGAAGTAGATTGCCCAACCTTCCTTCCGAGGAGTGGCTGGTGGATTTGAACCACCGACCTTCTGGTTATCAGTCAAATGCCTTAGGCACTATGCCACCAGAGCTCCTTTATATATGTTATACTTCAATAAAAAGTAAATAACAAAAAAAAAAGAAGGTGGGGACCAGGTTTGCTGGTCCAATGGAGCCTGGTGTAACCACTGAGACTATGGCCCCTAGTTGCCCTTCAGGTCTGGAATTGAACCCACAACTGTGGTTTCCAGCCAAACAAAGTACAGGCATGTGAGTTAAACATTTACCTCAAGTAGACACACGCCCTGGAGAGAACAATCATGGGAGAAGGAAGGGCTGCTTATGCACAGGGAGATAGCTCAGGGTACAGAAGAGTATGAAGGGATGGACACTGGGAGGAGGTAACTATGGGGAGGAAGTGGGAGGGGAGCTGCTGCATTGTAAATTTTGGTCAATGACATGAGACAAAGTATATGTGAACTGCTGTATGAAAAGTGAATTTACTCTGTAAATCTTCACCCAAATCCTAATAAAAAAAAAGTAAATAACATATACATGTATTTTTTTTCCTATTAACTATTAGAGCTTCTGCATTCTCATCTATTGCACACAAAAGCCCAAAGAAGCCAAGACACCATTCCAGGGCCTGCCCTGGAAGACAAAAGCACAATACTTCATAAAAGGCATCAGTTCCAGTAAGGCTTAGACTAACCCTCAGATCCATCCCAGACAGAAAGTGAGGGAAGAAAGTCTTACCTGGTAAGCCAGCTGCAGCTTCTCATCCTGAAAACTGTGCACAAACTCATAGAGCTGCTCCCATTCCTGGAAGGAGCCACTGCTGAAGCCGGGATCCCCAACCAGCAGCCTCCAGACTCGGTAAGGCAGAAGGAGGAAAGACTCCATGAGGCGACCAAGAAGGGGGAAGAAGCTGAACCAACTCAAGAAGGACCCAAGGGTCTCTGCCACATAGCTGAGAGTGGCAGCTGTGTTGCAGAAGGTACTGTAGGCTAGTGGGCCTGTGAAAGCCAGATAAGCCAAGCCAAGCCGGTAGAGCCGTACACTAAGGGTCTCTGACCCTACTGAAGCTTTGTAACGGCGATGCTTCTGAGCTGTAATGCTGGCAGCCAAGCTGATGGGCAGGATGGCTATGGGGCGGCAGTAGAAGACAGGGGAAGTAAGAAATGCTGCCACTAATGTGTTCTTAATGTCTGAGGTCTGGTTGCCAACAGCAGCCACCAGCAAAACACCTAAGCCAACTGCCAGTGGGAGGCCCACAAGATAGAAGTTGGCCATGGAAGAAAGGCTAATCAGAGCCACGAGGCCAAAGTAGATGCCCACTATCACCTGGGCAGCAAAGCGAAGGGGACTCAGAGGGGGTGTCCGCTCTTCCGGGTTCTGCCTCTGCCTTTGGGCTCTGTTGGCCTGCGCTACAAAGCTCGGGAGCTTCCAGAACTCCCAGAGCCAGCCCACTCCGCCACCTCCCAGGGTGAGCATCCAGAGTAAGGCATGGCTGTCCCTTCCCAGGTACAGGTGGTGGAGCCCAGCTGGGCCCCCTACAGCCCAGAGGGCATAGGTCACCAGGAGTCCCTTGGCCATTGTCTAGGGCAAGGGACTTAGAACATATCCAGTAGCATCTGACATTGCTCAGTGTGCAGAAATGTCAGGGTCCTCCGTGAGAATCATGGCCCCAGAGCTATCCTTAGATCCTATGGGATGAAAAAAATCAATTATAGGACTATACCCAGGATCCAACGTAGTAACCATTTCTCCTTCCAATAAAAGTTAAGTCCAGATCTTCCTGAGTGTCCCTGAAATGCTAGTTCTCCCCTACTCTTTGGTCTATCATGTCAGTTCTGTTCTTTCCAGCTTTGTTGTTGTTGTTGTTGTTATGTGCCGTCGAGTCAAACCCGACTCATAGCGACCCCTCCTTGGGTTTCCAAGGCAGTATCACTACAGAAGTAGGATTGCCCAACCTTCCTTCCGAGGAGTGGCTGGTGGGTTTGAACCGCCAGCCGTCTGGTTAGCAGGCAAGTGTCTTAGCCACTATGCTACCAGAGCTCCCTTTCCAGCTCCAGCTTTAGCAACGCCAAATTTAGGGGATATTTTAAATGCTTTCAGTTGAGTGAGAAGAAAACACACAGGCACAAAAAAGTACTAAGCTTATACATTCCAAGGCAGGCTGCCCTCAGACCACTGACCCTGGAAATGAATGACTCATCAGAGACAGGAAGAGAGGTTAAAGAGAATGCCCTTCCAAAGTTTCCACACATTTTGAAAGCCCCCTGTTCCCTCCCACTTAACTCCAACTAGTGGCATCACTAGGGTGTGGACCCCACAGGGTGACATTGTCAGAGGGGGTGATGCCATAATGACTGTCTATAAAATTTTTGTGCAGTGCTTAAACAGAAAACTATTATTTTTTTGTGAAAATAACCCTGTAGTTGGTTATCACAACAAAAATATTTTTCATAAGCCCACCTTACATGTATCAATATACCTATAAGGCTAAAACTCTATGCTAATTTACTTTTTGAACCTTCTAATATGCTCAGGTCAGAACAGTCATTGTTACTCAATTACAATGACTCTTCAATTCTTGTGCTTTGATCTGCAAGTGGTTTGATCTCTATGGGCTATAAGCACTCACTATTGTTTTTATGGGAGCTCTGGTAGCATAGTGGCTAAGGCACTTGACTGCTAACCAGAAGGCTGGCAGTTCAAACCCACCAGCCACTCCTCGGAAGGAAGGTTGGGCAATCCTACTTCCCTAGTGATACTGCCTTGGAAACCCAAGGAGGGGTCACTATGAGTCAGGGCTGACTCGACGGCACATAACAACAACAATTGTTTTTCTTGGGAGCTCTGGTAGCATAGTGCCTAAGGCACTTGACTGCTAACTAGAAGGCTGGTGGTTCAAACCCACCAGTCACTCCTCGGAACGAAGATGGGGCAATCTACATCTGTAGTGATACTGCCTCCGAAACCCAAGGAAGGCTCACTATGAGTCAGATCTGACTCATCTGCACATAATAACGATATTGTTTTTATTGCCGCTTTGTTTTTATAGTGGCTGATTTTGTCAAATTTTCTGATGTTTTAGCTACAATATTATGGTAAGTAGTATTTGTGAATCTTTGTCAATAATTTTTATTGAAAATGAAGCAGTAATTAAAGGAAAAGGAGAAAAATCAAAAAAGCCCTTCTGCTCAGTTCCTAATAATGTTGTAACTAATAATGTAATTCAGTGTGGAAAGATTTTACAAAACAATTTTGTTGTTAGTACTCATATAATATAATCTAAGAAATACATTTAAGCAATTTACAATTATATCAATCACGTTATTCTATAACTAAAATTTATAATAAACATTACTAAGAGTTCTACATGGTGTGATACAGGAGATTGGGTTGGGGTGACATCATGAGGAACCGAACTGGATGACGTCAACCAGACACCTGGCCCAGGTTTCAGCTCCTCCCCAGCCTCCCCAGCTGTGCAGACCAAGAAACTCTCCCAAAAGCCCAACTTGAAAGGGTGTGAGGGCAAGAGGGTCAGCTCTTTATAAAATACAAATAACTTAAACAGTTCTGGAAAACTACATTTTGACCCTGGCATTCCACAATTCAACTATCTCCTTCCAAGGCAGGCTTGGAAAGCCTCCCCAAACCGGCCAGACCAACCCCCAGAATGTTAAATCAGATGCCAAAGCGCGCCTGCAGTCTCTCCCCTCCACCTAGAGCGGCCTCACAGACCACCAACCAGTACCCGCTAGCCCCGGGTCAAGCGGCCGTACCTGGGTGCTCCGACTCCCAGACCCTGTCAAACCAGTCATTTCCTTTGACTAGAGACAAAATGGCCCCTCTTTATCCGCTCACACTTCCAAATGGACTTTGTCTTGTCTCTCTCTGTCGGCTGGGTGAAAGTCACGGAGGCCAGGTTGTCCCAAGCCAGGCCCCTCCCCAAGGCCTTCCCCAGCCGGCCCTCTCGGGATTACCTTCCCGCCCAAGGTTCCTCTAGCCTGCCCTCTGGGGTCAACTTGGTTTAAGGTTTTCCAGGCACATCCAGCCTCCACTGGCTCAAAGGCGCAGTGCCCCACCTCCCGGACCCAGACCGCCTGCACAGCTACACTATGGCCACCAGGTGGCGCTGTGGCTTACAGAAGGGCGGGTCCCAAGCCTCACCTTGGCGGGATGGTGGGGCAAAGCAGCCCAGAGCTGTGCCTGACTGGGGGCTGCCTGATGGGAGCAAAAGGGTGCCGCCGGTAGTGCTAAAAAAGTATCGCAAAAATAGGCACTTCCAAAATTCGGAAGGTGGCTCCTTCTCCCTCACCACAGGCTACCCACGCCTCTGCATATTCCCGTTGCCCTTCAAGACTGCATTGGATGGGTCTACTCCCAACTACTCCAACTAACGCAGAGACACCACAGATAGGGTGCAGGGAGGAATCTGCGCTGAGATGGCCTCAATGCTGTCCTCCAGGCCTACTGGGCCTGGAGGCACTGCATCCTGATCTCATCAGGGCCGGAGCCTGAGACCTGAGTGAAGAGGTGCCTATCCAGTAGGAGCCCCGATGGTGCTCGGTTGACTTGGGAGCTGTGGAAGAGTGGGAGGAACAGGAGTACATGGGGATAGGAGATGGGGCGACCGGTCTGAGGAGAGAGTCCACAGCCCAGAACGCAAGGGGGCAGAGGAGTCCATCTTCCTCCTAACTCGGTGATTGGAAGGAACTGGAATGCAGGATGACTTCATTTCAAAGTCCTGGGCTCAAATCTTTTCTCTTGCTACTATGACCTTGGCCACGTGTTGTTGCTTCTCGCACCTCAGTTTCCTCCTCTGTAAAGGAGGAGCTTGGATCTCCAAGGTCCCCAGAGTTGAGTTGGGGGCGGGGTAGGACCAGTGGGTCACCTGCCTGCTTCTACTCCCTTCACACCTCCAGCTCCCTCAGTGCTTAACCGAGCGAGCCAGGGGTTGACAATGTGGCTTCTTATTTGGTCCCTTAACAGTGGGCGCACTGTGAGGCCGGGACTGGGAGGGGCACCGGAGCGCTGCCAGAGTCGCGGACTGGGGCCGGTGACGGCCCGGGCCGCTGAATAATGAATGAGACTTAATTGGGCTGGCACTGCGCGGCGGTGCGCTAAGCTAGGCAAACAGCGCGGGCGGCGGCAACGGCGGCTGGACAAACAAACTAGCTCCGGGCGCAGGGACCCGGGTGGGGGCGGGAGCGGCGGGGGGAGGGGGGGAGGGCCAAGCTCCCCGGTCTCTCCCGGCCGCCGCGCCCCGCCAGCTCTGCGGCCGGGAGCAACCCGGGAGTCCTGGGCTGCGCTGGCTTCCCACAGAGGGGGGGGGGGGGGAGTCAGGCAGGGGCTCAAGGCTCGATCCGGGGAAACCAGGACAAGAGAGGGAAGGGGACTGTGTGGCGAGAGCCAGTGGCCCAAGGGCATAGTGAGACAGAGGAAAAAAAAGATGGAGAAAAGAGTGGAGGGCGGAGGAGAGACAGAGAACTGAGCGAGGAAAAAGCGCGCCGGGGGAGGGGCGGGGCGGGAGAGCAGCGGTTACCGAGAGGGAAGGGAAGAGCGATGGAGGAACAAGAGAAGGGAGGCGCGAACCCGGAGAAGAGGAATTGGAGAAGAGTCAAGGAGAAGGATGGGAGGTGACCGGAATGCGAACGAGGGGGCGGCGGGGCTGCGAGAGGCGCCCCGGCCTCCGCCTCGCCCGGCCGCGCTCCCGCCCTCCTGCTCTCTCCAGTCGCCCGCACTCACTTTGTCACAATTACGGGGCCGTCACTCGGCCCGGATTGTTTTCCCCAAATTGTTGTTCTGTAAACTGGCGAGGGGGGGGGGGAAAGAAAGGGACCTGATAAACGGGAGCCGGTGGGGAGGGTCTGAGTTGCCGCAAGAGTGCTTGGGGGTGGGGGTATTTTCTGAGAAGGGGACTCCGGGCGGGCCAGTGAATTCACCGATCCACGCCGGAATTCTGGTTGGCGCCCCAGCCTCGTCTCTCTGATCCCGCTTTCAACCTTCCTGGCCCTTTTCAGCCTCGGCTGCCTCTGTTTCCCCAGTAGAACGCGGCGGGGATTTTGGAGACCCCAGACGCACAAGATGATTGATTGTAGGTGGGAACCCAAACTTCCCTGCCTACCGCATTTTCTCTCTCTTTTACTACCCCAACTACTGGAGGCCGGGGGTCTTCTCCCAGTACAGTGGGGCTTCCACCCCGACAGGTCTGAGCCGCCCCCTGCCCGCCGGCGCCCTCCGGCCTCTGGCTCCGCGCTGCTGGGTGCCCCAAGACACCTTGCTGTCCCTCAATTCTGCAAACATCTGTTGAGCGCCCACTGGGCGCCCAAGCCGCGCCGGTCTCCTCCCGCGGTCTCCCCTTCCCCCAGCCATCATCCCCCCTTCCCAGCCCGCCCGGCCTGTCGGCTCCGTGACAGCCGCCGCCGAAGCCCAGGCCCCTCGGGAGCGGCCGGAGAGGAGCCGCCGCATGGCTGGCTCCGACACTGGCCTCCCCGGCGGCTCCAGGGGCAACGGAGGGTGGCAGCAGCTGAAGCGAGACCAGAGCCGGCCCAGGGAGTTGGCAGGGCTGGGCGGGGGAGGGG